GTGCGACCGACAATCTTCACAGAAACTAGACATCTAATCCCGAAAGCAAGTACCGGTGTAGGTGCCCAATACACATGAGATGCATACATACATAGAAGAATCACTCGTTAATTGTCCATGGTGACACACCTTGTCCGAGTATCACCACTTTGATATCGTCAAATGTACACACTCGCGTCCATTCGTAGATCTGGTTGGCAGGGGGGTACACCTTTTTCTTGGCCGCCTTCTCCGCTGCGAGATATGTCTTGAGCTGCAAGATATGAATTAAATATAATCGGCTCAACTTAATCAAACAGAGAAGATGGGTCGTTATTCAGGCGCGTTTCTCGGCCATTTTTTTTCAGCAGTGCGTAGGATCCGGATCGATACGCTGTGGTGAAACGCCGTACATACCGAACTTCCGCCTGATACACAATGCACTAGATACAACGTCCGTCCTATTAGTTTAAACCCTAAACCCTGTCCTATCCGCTTAAATCCTCAACCATATTTTCTCAGTTTAAACTCTAAACCCTGTCCTATCAGTTTAAACTCTAAACCCTTTCTTATCAGTTTAATCCTTGAACCCTGTCCTATCCGTTTAAACCCCAAACCCTATCTTATTCGTTTCAACCCTAAACCCTGTCCTATCAGTTTAAACCCTAAATCCTGACCTATCAGTTTAAACCCTAAACCCTGTCTGGCAACGAACGGCACATCACATACGGTTTTGAAATAACTCTTCTCAAACTCAGCACTCAGTACTCTCAGCCAGGTCTCTCCAATCGCGTCTTCTAGGCAGTCGGTGGTACCGTCCGCTATGGCAACCACTTTGTCGTCTGTTGCTAAGTGTGCGTCTCTGTCCTTGGCGGCCTCGTTCGTGGGTTCCGCATGTTTCGATGCAACTGCTTTAAGTTTGATATAAACGTGTACCCATTTAATCAGCCTATATCACTTGATCGCCGAGTATCAATTAACGGATATAAATTAAACGGGTGACTGTGTACCATTCCCATGACTTCGTATCAACCTAATAGGTATATATCTGTCTGCTACACGCGCCAATCTATAGAAGTAGGTTTTAGAATCGTGTACTTCTATAAACACTAACAATTGAGTGCTCGTGCGTTGTTTGTCGTGTGGGTATGCACAGAGCAATCCGCATGAGCTATCGCTCTATAAACTAAGCTGTTGTCGCATGCGCAGTACGATAGATTTTAGCTAATTGTTTTCTCGAGCAGCTGATTAACACCAATCGTTCGACTTGCGGTACGTGCACTGCAATACAATTTGCTCAATTTGATAAGCACAAACAGACATTTCTATATATTATATATATATATATATATATATATATATATATATTCATATATATATATATATATATATAATACTTGTATATGTGTATATATATTTATATTTATATATATACATATATATATATAATTATATATGTGCATATTTATAAT